TCTCTCTCTCTCTCTCTTTCTCCCTCTCCCTCCTATTTTAATTAAGTTGTCCAACACCTTGCAGGCCATGTAAATTATATTGAGAGCGTGTGGAGATGAACGTATGTATTTGAGTGCTTGTCTGCTTGAATGTGTCTGAGCTTGTGTGCCTGTGTTTGTGTATGTGTGAGTGCGTGTGAGTGTGTGTGCTTGTCTTTGTGTATGTGTGAGTTTGTGTGTGTGTGTGCGCATGTTTGTTTGTGTAGTGCTTGAATGCGTCAACGATTATGTGGTTATATAGGCAAGTATGTGTCAGCATGTGTCTATGACTGCCTCATGTGTTTTTAACGTAAACATGAGCATTTGTGGGTAAAAGTAGGTGTGTTTTTTAACTTTAAGTAAATAGATTGAGGAAGGGAGAGAGAGAGAGAGAGAGAGAGAGAGAGAGAGAGAGAGAGAGAGAGAGAGAAAGAGAGAGTGTGTAATCGAGGACAAAGACTATGAGAGAGGAGGTCGGTCTCAAGGCCAAATTTCGCATGCTCGCTAAAGAAAAACTCAAGAGAGAAAAAGCAGCAGCAACAATAATCAGCATTAAAGCTCGTGGGAATGCGGGTGTCCTTGAGACAGATAAGATGTATCGGGGAAACGATCAGACGGAATGAGGGGGGAGTAAAAAAATAAACTGCTGTCTTTGCGATGTAGAAACACTGGTAACTTTACAAAAGCTTTAATGATGCTTTTTTAAAAGTAGGTGTTTTACGCCCTCATCAAAAAATTTAGGTAATTTAGCAGGCCGGCTTCCGATCCAACCTGGGCTGAGAGGGATAAAGCATTGTAGCAGAAAAAAACAAGCAAACTGAAATACTCAATAAAAAATGTCTCCCCACTTGGGAACCGAACTGGGATCTCCAGCATGCCACAGCAAAGCAGTTATCTACTACGCCACATACTGTTTGGAAGAAAAAAAAGGCATACAGACAAAAAGAGAAATAGAAACCTCAATAAAAACGCAGTTGTGTCACAGAGACTAGGCAAACAGAGGGTGAAGGAAGGGGGTGAGGGGTGGACTAAATGAAAGTTTAAAGAGACGAGGGGGGGGGGGGTTCAAACATCTTTAGATCACGATTGGGAGAGGTACGTCAGAGAGAAAGAGAAAGAGAGTGAGAGAGATAGAGAGAGAGAAAGAGAGAGGGAGAGAAGAGAGAAAGGAAGAGAGAGGGAAGTAAGAAAGAGAGCGAGAGAAAGGAAAGAGAAAGAGAGAGGGAGAAAAAAAGAGAGAAGGAGAGAGAGGAAGAGAGAGCGAAAGAAAGAACGAGAGAGAGAGAGAGAGATAGGGAGAGGCAGAGACAAAGAGAAAGAAAGAGTGAAAGAGATTGTGAGAGAGAGCGAGAGAAAGGAAAGAGAAAGAGAGAGGGAGAGAAAAAGAGAGAAGGAGAGAGAAGGAGAGAGAGGAAGAGAGAGCAAAAGAAACAAAGAGAGAGGGACAGAGAGAGAGAAAGAAAAAGAAAGAGAAAGAGAGACAGAGACAGAGACAGAGACAGAGAGGGAGGAGAGAGTAAAACGGGGAGGGGGTGTAGACATAGATCATGTCCCAAGGAGGCAATTAATGTGATAAACGTGTATTAGAACATGTAATGACCAACTGGCTGCATTAAATGCCCCATTTGTGCGTGGACCAGGGGATCTGAAGGGAAAAGAACGTGACGAAAGAAAATGCAGACGAGAGAATAAGAGTAAGAGAGAGAGAGAGAGAGAGAGAGAGAGAGAGAGAGAGAGAGAGAGAGAGA